AATCCTTTATTTATAGATATAAGTTATACCATACAAAGAAATAAGACAATACCATGGGCTTTTCTCATAATTCCATGCATACAATTTTTTTTATAAACTTCATGCATACAATGGTAATAAATTTGCAGATATATGCTGTAAATGTATCATATGTACTTTCTTTTTTTACCATTCGTCTCCCCTACACTTATTTTTTTCAACACTTTTCTGTAATCTAATTAGCAAATGAACTTGTTATACACTAATAATAGCATCCATGAGCATTCTAAACATGAAAAGAAAGAATCAACCAGGTTCGATTTTTTGAGAAAATGAACACATTGCCAGAGGAATTAGTTTTTTTAAATTTCTCTAATTGCCTCCATAATTATCGAAAAATTTTCATTGCCATGGATGGACTTCCTCTTGGTCAGATGATGCACGTTTTCTTGAATCATATCCATGAGGATGATGCACATTTATTTATTAATCAAATTTACAATGTTTGAATTTTAGGTGATGAATCGAGAACTAATCATGGTAAAATTACAAGAAAGGCCTAAAATATAAACACAGGATGGCTAGCTAATTACCAGTGAAGTTGTACTAGGGGTCGTTCTTCCTGGTGCAAATTCAAAGAAACAGCCTTGTTGGTTCAAATCAAAAGGCAGCAGTTTGATAAAAATAAATAAAAGAGTAGACATTTTATTTGAATTGATGTTGGTCTCGGATGTGGAGACCCAAACCTGAAATCAAACAAACAAAGAAAACAGAAAATACGTGGGTCGGTCGACCGATGGACTTGGTTCGGTCGATCGCGACGCCTGTAGGAAACAAACGTGAGAAGCTTGCTCTGGCCGGTCAACCAACAGGGATGGTCCGGTCGACCGAAAACCCTATAGAAATCCAAGCCCAAAGTCGAGCTCTGACCAGTCAACCGACACGAGGACTCCGGTCGATCGAAAACATGCACGACAACCCTGTAGGAAGTTGCCGCTCTGGCCAGTCGACCGAATAGCATGGTCCGGTCAACCGAAGTTAGTTTTTTTTTCAGTTTCCTAATTCATTTTGGAAACTGTTTTGGGCTGGGATACTATATACCTAAACGTTTTTAGGGTTTGTAGAACACGTGAAAAGAGGGTTTTGAGAGGATTCTTTCAGAGAGGTCTCAGAGAGATAAAAACCTATTTATGGGCATTATAATCTTTTTCAATTAATCAAAATAATTGTGTGGTGTGGCCCCGAGGACGTAGGCACGTTGCCGAACCTCGTTAAATATGGTGTGTTCTTTCTTGTTTATCTTTCCTGTAATTTTTTCTTTTATTTGCGGTGATTTTTCTACTTGTTAAATTCTTAGCACAAGGTCCGGAAGCACACGAGTTCGATTAATTGATTGTTTCGAATCTCCAACAACTAGTAGCATAGCTTCGTTCAGAAGATTTGTGCGAAAACCATGGCAGAGGAAAACAAATCAAAGATTGAGAAATTTAACGGGTCGGATTTTGCCTACTGGAAGTCGCAGATGGAGGACTATCTGTACCAGAAGGATATTTACGCCCGTTAATAGGCTTTGATTGTGCTTGTGTATTTTGGTGATTGTGCTTGTGTATTTTGGTTGTGACCTCTCTTGTTTGGCTTGTGTGTGTTTCGACCGCTTCCGCCGCGCACAACAAGTAGTATCAGAGCTCCAGATTCCAGATCTAGGGTTTTTTCTTAGTTAGAGGAGTAGATCAATTTGGGAAGCTCGTCTAGGGTTTTGGTTGGTGAGAAAGGTAGGATCTTTTTGGTAAAGTTTCTTTCTTTTCTCAGTTTGGATCTATTCTTCGTTTGTTGGTACTTTGAGATAGTTGGCCGAGATAGAAGGATTTGAGGCTGGGTTATTTGTTTGTTGATACGGTGCATTGGGAAGGATTTGAGGCTGGGTTATTTGTTTGTTGATACGGTGCATTGGATTATTGAGAAGTGTCATTGACCTGCATATTGAAGTCCTTTGTTTGTTGATACGGTGCATTGGATTATTGAGAAGTGTCATTGACCTGCATATTGAAGTCCTTTGAGCATATTGGTATGAGCAAGGAGACCGAGGTAGAGTTTGGTACTTCTATTTGATAATTGAGGGGTCTTCTATTTGGTGTTCATTCAGGTATTTGGGGGCCTTCCAAGGAGGCATCATTAGAAGGTAATTGATATTTTGGTTTCCTTTGTTAGGGATTGTACTAGGTATTTGTGGGTTGTAACCAAGTCTCATTGGTTTTGAAGTCCTAGTAGTCAACAACAGTTAAAGAAGTGTATTGACAGTAAGATGAAGGTACTTCATTTTGGTTGTAGAGGGAGGTACAAGAGGGACCTACTGTATTTGTGCCGAGTTCATGACAGTTTGAGACACTTTATTGGAGAGAAAACATTAGGGCGACGAGATGTGATGACAGTTTCGATGGGTCGTTCCTTTCTGGAGGAGGATCGACGTTGGTTGTCGAGCATTGGTTCTAGTTTTAGAGGTTCGACATATTTGGGTCATCTTAATCATAGGTCGCCGACTGCTGTATTAGGAGTTATTGGATCTGGTAGAGCTGCTTCAGATTTTGCTTCAGATTTTGGTTGGCGTTGGATATTTGGTTACCCAGTATTTGGTCATATCAATGATGTGAGATTTGACCCGATTGCGCGTTTGGGATTCAGAGTCTTATTTGATTATCTGTTGGGAGCTTCTGATTTTATTCTGAGCAGATATGTCACATTGGACTCTCAGCAGGTAGAGAGTGTTGATCAGGTCGTTTGGATATCGCAGCAGGTGGAGGGTGATGCTACTCCACGTTGGGTGGAGTTTACTCCACATACTCCAGATCATACTGCATCGTTTGGGATTCCAGCTGAGGTGACCACATACTCCAGATCATACTGCATCGTTTGGGATTCCAGCTGAGGTGACACAGATTGGGGATCATTTGGTTTTGGATGCAGATGATATTAGTGAAGAGTTGCAGACTTTTCTATTTGATTGAGGGCCTTTGGAGACCGTTTGGGTGAACTACGTGAAGGCTTGATTCCTTAGGCAAGAGGGGGTACGTAGGCAACCACATTGGTACAGCCGAATTTGGTGAGACAACACATTGGTGCTCATGTTGATGTCGGCTCAGTTTTGAGAATACTTCGCCGAGGTAGAGAATTGTTGGATAGCAGTATTCCTAATCTATTAGGATTCCTAATCTATTTTGGTAACATGAGGTTATTAGGATTCCTAATTTATTTTATTTTTTGTTTTAGGATTCCTAGTCTATTTTGATTTTTCTATATATATGGAGATTAGAATCAATCATAAAAAGTAAGGAGAGTTGTAATCAGAGGTTAGAGAGACTCTTGAGCATTAAGAGAGGGAGATATTGTGAGCAAGTTGAGAGCTTTGGTTGAGGGTTAGTTTGTGAGTTTTGTGAGATTGTAACCATTTGTACTCTCCTTGATTTAGTAGAATCTCCTCATCCTCTCCCCGTAGACGTAGGCAATTGCCGAACCACGTAAATCTCTTGTGTTATTTGGTGATTGTGCTTGTGTATTTTGCTTGTGATCTCTCTTGTTTGGCTTGTGTGTGTTTCGACCGCTTCCGCCGCGCACAACAACGGTTTGAGAGATATGACCCGTTCTTCGTTGCAAGTTATTTTCCTCGACCGGGTCCGCTTTTGGGCTTGTGTCTATTCTGCTTCTCTATAAATACATCCGTAGTGTGTTCTATATCAGTTGGTAAGCTGCCTATAAGTAGTACTCTAAGGTTTCAGGTTAGCCTCTACTGGAGAGCATTCACCGAAATTTTAATTTTTTAAATACATGAGGCGTGTGTTGGGATCATCGGGTGAGTATGATTGGGGGAAAAAAGAGCTAGTTCACAACTCCACAAAACTGGTTTTAGTATATTCAATATTAGCCCAAAAATTAGTCTTTAATTTGGTAAAAATTAAGCCAAAGTTTAATCAGTTTTCTTTACTTCAAAAGCATACCTTAAAAAAAGACTCTTAAGCTTGTTTTTTTTATTTTTAAAACCAACTTTGACCCGGGTAAACGAAAATCAGACGTGGCCGGTTCGTTTTTGCAGTTGGCAAGCCCAAGCTGGACATATCCAAGATTTCTAGCTCTCAGGCTAACATGCACCTGGGATCGGATTTGGGCCTAAATCATGGGCTTGGATACGGAGAAGCCATTTTAGGATCTGCCACGTAATAACGGAACGCACCATTCTCAGGTACAATTTAAACACGGGAAATTAAAAAAAAAAGTCTGATTTTGCTAAATAATTAACAAAATATATCATTTTACTAATTATTTAGCAAAATAGATCTCTTTTTGGCCAACAAGTAAAAAAGATGTCGGTTTTAAAAAATAGACTGCACAGCATTCTGTTTTTTAAAATCAAGCTATTTTTTGCCAACAGGCAAAAAAGATGTCTATTTGGCTATAATTAACAAGATGATCTATTTGCTAATTATTTAGCAAAATCGGTCGGTTTTAAAAAAAATTCCCCTTTATACACATGCATGTTTTATGATAAATGATATGATAACACACTTGCAACTCACGTGCTCATGCTTCTGTCCGTTTGGAATCATCCGAACATATCTGAACCTTGTAGTATTAACAGCAGGATTAATAATTAGATTCTTCATCAGAATACCAGATTTTATTATTATCATCAAGATTCAGATTCCTTCTGATAAAATCTACACCCGTCGACTCGGAACGGCACGCGCCGACCCACGCGCCGTTTTCCAATTCTCACCGCCATTGCCTTGCCGCAGCATCCTCCGGCTCACGGAAGGTGCCGTGGAAGCCGTACGGCACCCTGCGCCGGTAGCCTCACGTGGCCAGAACCCCATTGCTCTCCGCGTCGTTATATCGCATCGTCCGACTCGTTCCTGGACCCTCGTCGTGGACCGAGGACCAGCACGAACCCTTCGTCCTCTCCCCCGGCCCCCGCTCTTTTCGCCGACGAAGTCGGTCGCCGCCCGAACATACGCCCCCGTGCTCCATCCTCTTCACTCCCCTGTCTGCAGGTCGGCCTTCGCCACCTCCACCGCAGCACCTGCGGGCCAGGGTCGGCGACGGCGAGGTAGACGAACGCGGTCTTTCTTAGCCGAGCCGGACCGGTTCCCTGGCCCATTTCTAGTTGACGGCCCTCGACGACCCGGCCTCCGGCTCGACCCGCGCCGTCCTCAGGTCAAGCCTGATCGTGCTGTCAGCACGCTCTTTTCGTCGCCCCTTCCGGGGTCGCGCTGAGCATCGAAGCCGGCCGGGTCAGTGCACGAGGCCGATCCGACGGACGACGACGCGGCCGTCCTCCTCCTCCAGGGAGTTCCTTAATGGAGCAGAAGCAGCCGGGGCGTCGTATCCACCGGATCCGGACTTCGTCGTCGTCGATTTGCGGAGGAGGCCGAACCGGGGGGTTTTCCGGCCGATCGCAGCGGACCGGGGCCCCGAGGAGCATCTTCGGAAGGTCGAAGACGATTCTTGGTGTCGGGGATGACGGCGTGTGGTCGGCGTGATGGCGAAAGTCGTTGACCAATCGTGCTGGCCTAGCTGCGTGACGGGCACGTCCGTTTGATCTTCTCGTCGGTCAGCGGGTTGACCCTGAACGTACTGAGGTAGGGTCTGCCGTTATGCTGTAGCCGACAGCGCGGAAGAGGTGCCCTGGTGCGGGTCGATCCTCGGACTGTGGGCGACTATCGGGGAGGAGAGACGGGCCGCCGAACGCGAAGCCGTACCTGCCGACGGTCTCCACGTCGTTTGGTCGCACGTGACGGACACGTTGTAGGGGAGGTCGTCCTCGACATGGCGAGCAGCCGGCCGTTGAAGTAGAGCGAGGTTCGCGTTGGCGGGGCGACGCCCGCAGGGGCCGTCGACGATCCACAGGCGCGAGCGGAGGTGGAAGAGGGCCAGGAGGCAGAGCCCGACGCGCCGTGAGAGCTCGCGATGGCCTTGGGGAACACGCGCGGCCATGGGAGGCCCTCCTGCTTGAACTCGCTAGTGCGCGTGAACGGCAGTCGTTGGCCGCCTCTGTGTGGGCCCAGGAAGGAGACGTCGGATGGTCAGCCGCTCGCCGAAAGAGGTGTGGCCGCCGGAACGGAGAGGAAGAGGGTGCGCCCCGTTGCGAGGTAGACCCGCTGTGAGCTCGGGATTTCGCGGAGACGACAAGCCCCGGTCCGGCAGCCGATCGGAACGGGCGCGAAGTTGCCGATGGGACGCGGGCGGGACGCCCGGGAGGCAGGGCGAGCCTCTCGAGGTTCGGACGACCGGACTCCGGCCGCGTAAAGGAGGCCGAGGCGAGAGCTTTTGAGCAGCGGATTAAGAGGAGCAGCGACCGGAAGGAGGGGAGAAGGGAATTGAGCGGCGCAGGCGGTTGGTGGGCTTTTTTATTCTCGGTTGAACAGTTTGAGGAAAGGACTAGTTGCTCGTGGCGGCGTGTGGTGAGATTTAGACAATATTTGTGAAGAGAGTCATGACCGCAAAAAAGTGCTACAAGGCTCTGATGAAGTTTTTGCCAGTTGAGATGGTAAGGTAGTGTAGTGTATATAATATATATATATAGGGAGAGGTTCTAATAAAAACCTAGAGAACTAAAAACCTATCCTAACCCTCCAATCTATCTAATCCAATGGCCTAGATTTCGATGGCAGAATTGTAAATATAGACAAATTTAATACACTGCATTAATGTGAAAAGGGTAAAATTGGAACAATTCATTGCATTAATGGTGACTGATTACATTGGAACAATGATACAAATTTAATACACGTCCTTTAATACTCTCTCTTACATTATAGACAAATTTCCTCTCACGTTCTCCTCTCTCTCTCCTCCATTTCCCAAAAGCTTGAACCAGCCCCCTCTCTCTTCCTCTCTCTCACCACCACAAACACCACTAACTCCTCACCGAGCTCCTCCAACTCCACTGCCCCTGAGCTCCCTCCGACGAACCGAAGCCGCTCTGACGAACCGAAGCCGCGAGTGAATCCAGATTCACTAAATTGAATCCAGATTCAGTGAACTGAAACTCGTTATCAAACAATAGCAAATCTGCAAAAATAAAAAACAAAAAGAATAAGAAACTTATGGATTCACTAAAAACCATCCTAACCATCCAAGCTTTCGCTGTAGTGAATCTGGATTCACTGCAGTGAATCTCGATTCACATCAGTGAATCTCGATTCACATCAGTGAATCTCGATTCACAGCAGTGAATAGCGATTCACAGCAGTGAATCGAGATTCACTGATGTGAATCCAGATTCACTGCTGTGAATCGAGATGGCGGAGGTCGTCGAGGAGGTTGGAGCGGCGGTAGCTGGACGTGGAGGCGCTGCTGTCGGAGCTGACGTGGTGGGAGGGGATGAGGGCGAGGTCGGAGGCGGGGATTTGGTTCGAGATGGCGGAGCTCGGAGGTGGTGATGGCCATGAGGACGGCCGATGGGTGGCGCTGGAGGTGGGCGACGAGAGAGGAGGGCGGCTTGGGGAGGAGTTCGGTGCAGCCAAGGGTGGGGACGAGCTCAGGCGAGGGCGGTGGGGGAGCGGCGGCGAGCTGGAGGCGGCACAGGTCGAGCTCATGGGAGGCGACGGTCGGCGCTTGATAGGAGTTGATGGGTGCGGTGGTGATGGTCTGAATAAGAAGAGATGGAGAGAGAGAAAGATGGGGGGTGTACGAGAGAGGTGTGACTTTTGGGGAACTCAACAGTCACATTAATTACCTCTCTTTGGAAGCTGATAAATTTACCTGATTACCCTTATGCAGCATTAATTGTCTTATAATCTCAGCCATTGAATGAATCTCAATCCAACGGAGTGGATAGGTTTTTAGTTTTTAGGATAGTGAGGTTTGCATTTGAACCTCTCCCTATACAAAATTTGTTAGAGAGTCTATTACTAAAAAACGACCATCATATATACCCAAAACCCTATTTCATTTTCTACCAGCCTATTCTTCTTTTTCCCATCCCTGTTCCGCCGCACACATTTAAAAAAAAAGGAGAGAAAACTAAAACGACGACTTCAGAGGACAGTAGGGGGTGTGCCTTATATATATATATATATTATTATTATATATATATATATATATATATAGTATATATATATTATTATAATATATATATATATATTATATATATATATATATATATATATATATATATATATATATATAATATATATATATTATTATTATATATATATATACAAAACGCATATTAGAAAACTACAAGTGATGACAACTATGGGTGGCTTCACACAGATCCAACTCATTCATTGAACAGCCACGTAGTGACTTATCACTCGCTGAAAATACACAAGTTGATACAAGTATGGAGAGAGTTCAGAGCATCTTTAAGCATCGAAAAGGAAAGAGCAGGCAACGAGACCCGACACTTGACAGGGGAGGGGCCTTGGAACTCAAGACCCCCCCCCCCCCCCCAGAGGAAGAATTGGGTGTGGGTGTGAGGGCGGGGGGGGGGGGGGGGGTTGGCGGGGCGGACCAGAAGGAAGGAAGAATGAGTTGAACCTAGGATTTGGGCGTCCGACGTGGGCGAATAGGGTCACGTGAGGGCCGGAGGGGCTGAGGCGAAGAGCCACGCCCATGCGATGAGGACCCGAAGAGTCTGAGCTGGACCTCGATCTACGGGCTGAAGTGGGCCGGCCCCGTTTCCTTTTGATGCACCGGGTTTTGGATTAAACGCGTGCCCCCCTTGATGGCCGCACGTGGCATTCTGGCCGGCGCGATTATTAAATGCATGCCACGTCTGTATTTATTAACGGAGAATATTATTAAGAAAATAAAGTAAAGAGTTGTAGATAGGGAGATTGTCATGGCCTTTCTTTTTTTTTTTTTTTTTGTTAAATCGGCGCCCTATCTAAATTTTGTTTAAAAAAAAATCGATCTATTTTCTGCCACGTCAACATTGTTTGCTGAAATCGGGTTAGTTTAAAAAAAAAAACATAATTCGTTGGTTGTTATGACATGCAAACTAGTTTAAATGTTGATCCCATTAGGAGACGACGCGTATCCCATCCCGTGACTAATCGGCCGCATTCAAAGAGGGGCGACTCGGGTAGCTCCAGCGATCGACCCAACAGATGGACAACTTGCGAAGCCGACTAAAAAGGTGGTACTTGTCGATCTACCCATAAGATTGAGACGAAAAACATCCTCAATCGGCCTACCACTCTAATTGACTCCACTCCCTATTGCCATTCGGATCTCCCAGGCGACAATTTGCGAGGTCGACCTAAAAGGCGGTGGTTGTCGGCCTCCAACAGGATGAGTCGGGCGGCAGTGTGTCCTCGACCCCTTCACCGACAATCGAGTGTCATCACTTTATAAAATGCATGGTGAGAATCATCATTGCTCTGGCCTCAATAGTCTTTATGACTCATTGGACCTCGTCACTATTATGCGCCTCCTGTCACCCTCACATTAAACACCTGGGTGACTCACCTCCTTCGGCGGTTGATATCTGTGAAGTAGATGATCGCTGCTAGCTCAACTCGGCCAAAGTTACCTATCTGCCCTTCTGACCTACTATAAAATGTAACTGTACGTCTAGGGTAATTGCAAGGGGGCTCCTAAGCAATTCTGAACAACTGTTTTTACTTACATGTTCGTGATTGGCAACCACAACTGTTTTTGAACTAAGTTCTAAATAGTCGTGGTTGCGGACCATGGTTTATTTTGAGTTACGACCTACAAATTAGGCAGGTTGGTAACCCCATCTAATTAATTAGTAAATTGTTTTTTTAAAATCTAATAAGTTTTAGGCAACAATAATGTGGCCGAGACTGGATCGGTTTTTTGTAAATAAAACCGAAGCGAGTCCAGCTATGTAGACAAATATTAAAATGGGTCTATTTCAAAAATTTGTCCACGGAACTGCAGAGACTGTGCTTCATTAGCCGAAGCACCCCCAAACAATCCTCTTCAATAAGAATGGAGACGTAGGTGAAGAGCAAACAGGTTAGAAGAATCAAAAAGGGAAAACTGAAAACAAAGCTCAGACACGATCACGATGCAATTACCCGTGACAGAATTAATATCATGAAGCAACGTATTGCAGTAAAAATCTCACAAATTAAGGATGATGCATGAGAATGTAAAAATCTCTTCAGTGATAGATCCGAAAGCAGCAAGTAGAGTTCCCAAAACAAACGTTATGGAAGATTTGAATTTTTTTAGCCTGAGTATGCCTAGTATGGGGAGCCCTTCTGAGCTGCGATAGAATTTGGGTCCTCTCCACTATCAAAAGCTAGTGACTTACTTTCGATTACAAATGCCTGTCATCTAATTATGGCAACGAGTCGTTCCAAATCTCGATAACTTCCTATGTACGTCTCCCGTGTATTGCAACATTCCCAATATAAGCTCAAAATGAATCACAACCATCAACTTCACGATAGACGGTTCTAATCAAAAGTGGTGATCTCTCCGCTATTACTTTTTGGTAGCGGAGAAAATCTATATCGGTTGTGGTATATTTCTCTCTGTGAGGTACAGCTCCAGTACGATCACTTGCCTGACTAGTGACTAGCATTACCTACAACTAAATGCACCAAATTAGATAAAATATAGTAGAGATGACCTGCTGTTTTCTAGACAATTTACACAAGATTAATACCAGCTGCCACACTCCCACCGTTACAAAATGCAGGATTTGAGTTTTCAGAAGTAATAACCGATTGAGAAGGCAATCTTGCGCTTGTGCAAATAAATGCCAGTTTTATTATTTTTTCAGTAAATATGACACATGATCTGTTGTCAGCATGCACAAGGATGCATTCACTGAAGGCCCTAGAAAAGCATGGAATTTTGAAATTCTCAAATACAAGCGAATACCAAATATAAACATACTCTTGCATTAACATTTCGCTGCGCAATTTAACAGAGTCCACAGTCGTTGATTCTAAACCTGCTCCAGTGCATGCAGTCGACACACAGTCGTTGATTCTATGCCAGGAACTTACCAATGCCATAGAACCCTGCTTGTGCATAGCAGCAGCAACATCGGCGACTGCCTCGAGACCAGACGAGGATTGGCAGTTCACAGTTCTTACAGGAACAGTTTCTGTTTATCAAGGAAAAATAAGTGCAGAACAAAATGTTGGTGCGAGCACGCGCGCGCACGAAGCAAATTAAGATATTGCTGGACATACAGAACTCAAATTCAATTCAGCATTCCTTAGAAACCTAACAATCAGAGAAGCATTAGTCACATGTATTTCGAATTAATTTTATGCCTTATAAGAAGCATTGGATTTGATTATATAAAAAAAAGTTAATTGACATAGACCCTCTACAGTGTTTCTTTTCGAACTATAGTTTCATTTTTGCAGCTAAATTCCTTGGTGACTTTTTTTTGTTTTTCGTTTTTTTTTTTGAGTCTTTTATCCCGTGTGAAAATTTGGTAAATAATACCCCTAGGAGAGATTAGTAGGTCTATGTGAGGGTAAAAAATTTAAAAAAATTCACTGAGGGAGTCCAACTGCAAAAATGAAACCACAGGGATGGTAAGTTCAAAACAATGATAATACAATGGGCTCTTTATGCAAGTGGAGTCCATTTGAGACCACTTGATGCGAAGGTAAGAAACCACCTAAAATAAACACTCTCTCTTTACTACGATGTACGCATCTCTTGTTTACAATCACCTCATCTTAAATAGGCGATGTTCTCGACGTGACATAACAACCGGTTGGCCTTAGTGCTGGTCCGACGTGACAATTGGATTGTCCCAATATTACCACCCGGCTATGTGAATTCTAGAGATTGTTCCCACCGCACTCACGTGATGTAGCGCTTAATCCCGCTATGCCTCGTTTTGTACGTAGAAATAGATATGAATGAAATGCTCATTCTCACTTCTCATTCATGCCTAAACAGGACAACCTTTTTGAAGTGGGAATGTCAATTGCCAATACTTATTCATTTTTACTTTATGCGGGAACAAGCATCCCCATTGTGAAATAGGGAATGTGCATTTCTCCTTAAATGGGAATCAATAAATATTTATAACTTTCAATTATGCCCCATCAATAAAATATTTTTTAAAAAAATACAGTCTCAAGATTTTAAACTGTATCCAAATGAATAATTAATCTAAAATATATTTCAAAATCGACTCCATTGTAAGATTTTTGTATCCAAATTAATAATTAATCTAACATGTATTACTTCTATCCAAAAATAAATTTTATGAAAAATAATTTTCTATTAGTAAATCAAAATATCGAAATTGAGATGGTATGCCAAAATAAAACTATCCAATGAAAAATTGATTTCTATTAGAAAACATATATTTTATAAAATTTACTTATAAAGGTTGAAATTATTTAGTAGGGTTATTATTAGAAAATGGCATCCCATTCAATGAGAATGAGCATTCTCAAGCATACCAAAATGAGGCATTAGCCCGGCTTGCTAACTGCTATGTGTGAGCCCGTTGGCGGTTTAATTCAAACCACTACAAAAAAATTAAGTACCTGATGCTGCACTTTAAGCCCATGGTTTCACTATAAATAAACACTTCAAATGCCCATTGAAGGCTGAATAGTAGATGGGGGTCTAAGTTTAGGGCCACAAAGTACGCCACATTTCAGGATCAGGACCAAAATCAGGAAAAAGCTTTTTATTTTTAAATTATTGTCTCAAAAACACAAGATGTTGGATTCTGGCTATCTTGATGGTGATGAAGACACCCTTACTTTAAGCACAATATAATTTTTTTGGACAAAATTTTAAAACCAACATATTTAGCAATTTAATTACAAAAAACGACTTATTTGCAACTTAATTATCAAAATCGACTCAGTTTTAGTCAGTTGGCTGAAACTAGGTCGATTTTGATAAAAAAATGTTATGAAACTTCACGGGACGTGAAGTCCCGTGAAGTTTAACAACACGCTTAAACTTCACAGGACTTGAAGTCCCATGATGTTTTTCATAAGTTATTTCGCCAAAATCGACCCGGTTTTAACCAATTGGCCGAAACTGGGTCGATTTTGGCGATGAAATTCGAAATGAGTCGATTTTTGTAATTAAGTTTCTAAATGAGTTGATTTTGAAAATTTGTCCAATATTTTTTGGTAGATTATGGATAGTTGGAGGGGTCATTTTGAGTGAAATATGAGAATTTGAGAGGAATAAATATGTCAATCAATTAATTAACAAAAGAGCTTTGCTACAAGGACCCAAAATATGAGACCAATAGGGGGGACAAGTGAGGTGTCCCCTTCTTATTGGATAATGAGTTGGTCATCATGATAATGAGTTGGTCATCATTAATGATGACCAACTCATTATCCAATAGGAACGAGACACCTCACTTATCCCCTATTGGTCCCATATTTTGGGTCCTTAAAGAATTTTTCTTAACAAAAACAAGTCAAGAGCATGAATGTAATTAATGCAATATTTTACATGGGTCCCCCACACAATTATGACCAAAATCATTATCGGGTCTATCGAGTTCAGGCGCGAAAACTGACGGTGACCTACGATTAACTAGCGTCCGGAACGAAAACGGGTCGAATTAACCCGAACCCAAACCGTACCCGATATTTCACCTCGTCGTCATCAAGAAAGCACTCGCTCTCTCTTTCTCTAAACCTGTGTTCCTGAGCTCCGCTCGCTGTGGATTTCCTAAACCCTAGCTCGATTCTAAGGTCAGTTCTTTGATTCTTTTTTGTTCTTGATTTTTTGAATTTTCTATGTCTTTGCTGTTGATTCGATCGGAAATGGAGAATCGAGGCGATTCTTGAATTTTCTATGTCTTTGCTGTTGATTCGATCGGAAATGGAGAATCGAGGCGATTCTTGGATAGATCAAATGTTTGAAAGATTAGAATTCGATCGGAAATGGAGAATCGAGGCGATTCTTGGATAGATCAAATGTTTGAAAGATTAGATGCTGAAATTTTGAGAAAACGACGATCGCTTTGAATCTTCGGCTCATTCTAAGTAGAATCGGTATTCAATTGACGAATACTTCTTGAATCTGCATCCGCTGATGATTTCGCGTTTAGATTACTTTCCGAGCAGCCATGGTTCATGAAGATGTATGGATTTTCTCTATAGATTTAATGTGTAGTTATTCATGCTAGGGTTTCTTATCGATGCCGCGGCTCGGATAATGAACTGCTGAAGCAGTGTAAATTAGTTAATAACTTGTGCATGCCGCGTGTATTGGATGTAGGATACTCCTTTACTTAGTAGAAACTGAAGGAAATAATTAATTATGCATCCCTAGATGTTTTCGAGCATTATCATCTACTCACTAGTGACTACCAATGATGTTTTTGTCATTAAATAGATTAAGAGCTTGAAATGAACATGGTTCCTAATTGATTATGATGTATAGATGAGTTCTCTCTCGATGTTGTATTTGGCTCATTTTAGGTCAGGCGAATTAGGAGTGTATCGGGAATATTATAAATGGCAGGTTTCTGTTATGCGACACCCGCAGAAACCACTGGAGCATTGAGTAAATGGTAGCCACTAACCACCCTGGGGATGAAAGATATAATTGCATACACGCATTTCCAAAGTTTTGTAATGAGTATAACAATTGTTATGTATCTAATAGAATTGTAAAAAAATCCTACATGCAACCAAAAGTTGACACAGTAGGGATCCATTTGCGCATAATGATTTATAAATTATAAGAAATGAACTGAATTTAGAAAATAATATTAACATATGCATTGTATAATCAAAATATAGTTATAATTCATTGTGAGGTACCATGTAAGACATATATGCCTGCAAAAGTTCGGAAATATGCCAGATTAAACTTGACAATGTTGACATGTCAGGGGCTTTGTTAAGACTATTGTGTTTTTTGAATGCGAAGCATTTAAAGGAGAAAATAATTGAGGTGGAACATTACATTGGTCACAGCGGTCATCTGGGTATCACCTAGGTTACAGAGATTTATGGGATAATTTCTGGCGGAATAATATGAAATGAGAAACTGCAAACTTTATGACAAATTGTTGGACATCTAACAGGTCCAAGCTAAACATTTATTAACTTACTTATTTTGAGAAAATATTTTTAACCAGCGTTATACATCACAAATGGGTCAAATTTGACGTCATGTTCAGGTGATTGAACTTCTGTAGAGAAGGACTTTATGCCTTTTTTGTTTTTTTTTTCTTGTAAAGCTTCATGCATGGAGTCCAAGTAGATCAGGATGTTAACTTTAGCAGTTGTCTTCATATTTTCACTCTTCTATTCCATTTGGTGGAATTAATTTTGCTTAGATGTTGACCAAGGTTGAGACTACACTGTGTTCCCTTTCAATCAATCGATAGATAGTAAACAGTTTTCTTCAGTATATTATCGAGAATGGGGAAATTTCTTATGAAATCAGGATCTATGTTTGTCCAAACTGCTAAAGGTTGTATACAATCATAGCGCACCAACCCAACTAGCTTCGTGGGTTTTCAGATTTGTGTCCTGTGAATGTAAATGTTTCCTGATAGTGCTTGGACATATCATTCTAGTTAGTTGTCTTTTCTCCTTTACACGTAGATGTGCTAATGCTAGTTCTTTGCATAAACAACTTGATCACTGTTGTATTTCATATATTCTATCATTGCACCTCAGTGTATATGACACTATTATCCATATGCTTCTTAAATTTGACTCAGAAGGATGCTTCTTTGTAGCAGTGAACAACCTGTACATTATCTATTAATTAAATTTATTGTCAGAGATCAAACATCTTTTTCTGACACTTTTTTCCTGACACTTCTGGAATTCCTTTACTGTCCATGGGTATTTCATTTCTGCAGAAACAAAACCATTCAAAATTCAGCAATCAGGTTCAGGGAGTGACTTGCCCCCTGGCGGGGAGGTTGCTCCTTTCCCTGTTGTCCGGAGGGTGAATTCCTCCCTTGCTATCGCAATGGATGACGATGTGGAGAATGGAATCGTGGGCTCATACCAAGACCAACCCAGGACATTTCCCAACATGCAGAGTAAAGCACAAGTCCCTCAGGTATAGTTCTGATATGTTGATAGGTTTTCTTGTCAAATACCTTAATCGACCCTATCTTTGTTTTGTTCTGTCATTTTGGACTATTTGTTGGATTTCTAGTTACATATCTTTTGTGGGAATGAGTACTCACGTTATCTGCTACTTATGGGGAAAACTACTGAAGCAGACAACGAAAATTTATTTTATCAACAATGAATAAGACTAATATGACCCCTTTTCCTTAAAAATACGTATAAATTGATTATTATGGATGAAAGAGAATTTATCGTACTTTACTACTCTAGAAATATACTTTACTACTATAAATTTCCAAAGCATCATATCAGCATGTTCATATTCACATAATTTGATTTATATGGAAATAGTTTCGTACAATACATTCACTTACGCCTCGTTTGGTACGCGGGAATGGACTCGAATGAGAATGGAATGGAAGAAGGAATGGAATGGAATTAATGTGAGAATGGAATAATCATTATCATTCTCACGTTTGGGTGTAATTTATAAAATGAAGTGGGAATGGGCGTATTTTAAAATTGTATATTTTAGTGATTCTCATTTAAGTGGGAATCCTCATTCCCTATCATTTCATTGGGAATGCTCATTCCCACATAAAGTGGGAATTGATGAGAAGTGGGAATGTGCATTCCAACTTCAAAAAAGAGTGTGTGTTTGGTAGAAAGGAATGAAAAGTGAGAATGATCATTCCATTCCACCTCATTCCCGCGTACCAAACGAGGCCTTAGATTTCAAATTACCCAGTCAGTGTCCTCCTAATAAAGTGGCTTTCATTTTGTTTCTGTTTTCAACAGGTGTAGTGTATGTCGATTTTTATGTTCGTATCTCCCATATTATTAACAGTTTCTCCTACTTTTGCAGATCCTTCGGGTGTTCATGAGAATAGATGTTCGTATTTTGTTTGTCCTTCTTCTTTTGGCATTTGGAGCTGTGATTTACATTGGAGCTAGGACTTCCCCAATTGTTTTGTTTGTCTTCTCCATCTGTGTGCTCAGCTTCTTCTTTTCAATATATCTGACAAAGTGGGTTCTTGCAAAAGACGAGGGGCCTCCCGAAATGGTCCAGGTATTTTATATCTCATAAATGGTCACATATGTCTATCATGTCTTTTACATTTAATGCTTGCAGTTGGAGATGTCCTGCTTTTGCGTAATTTACTTTCTAGTTTGTTATGTACTCTTGTTGATGTGGTTTAGATATCTTTCCTTGCTACACAGTGTTTATAATTTAATTATTTACTTTCCTGATGATGCACTAATACAATTTCATATTATAACATACTGTCACGAAGTGATGTGTCTTGTTTATTATTTATTTCTTAAGAAATTGGATGACACTTTCTCTTTATAGTTCTTCAGGTCATCTTTTTCAATTTCACTTTTCAGTTAAACTGTAGATTGTTGCTGTTTTTAGCAATATGAATTCTAATTCTAGTGGGTGTGTGTAGAGAATATAATTTCAGTAATATGTTTGATCTTTATGGTTTGTCCATTCTATAGATATCGGAGGCAATAAGGGATGGAGCAGAAGGTTTTTTCCAGACTCAATACGGAACAATTTCCAAGATGACTATAATACTGGCGCTTGTCATCCTTAGCATTTATCTCTTCCGTAGCTCAACTCCGCAACAGGAATCATCCGGTTTGGGAAGGTATGCTATATGTAAATATTACGCTCCTCATCATAGTGTGCTTCACATGTTTCTGCAATGTCCTGTTTGTTGGATATCATTCTCTGTATTGACTCGAACTTCCTATTTATAGGTCAACATCTGCGTATGTTACAGTTGCTGCTTTTCTCCTTGGGGCTCTATGTTCTGGGGTTGCTGGATATGTTGGAATGTGGGTATCTGTCCGTGCAAATGTTCGCGTCTCTAGTGCTGCTAGGCGTTCTGCTAGGGAGGCTCTGCAGGTAACCATTGAATATTTGTTCTATATTTAATATAATTTATATAGAGTTACCACGCTATTGATTCTCCAAATAATATAGGTTGCTGTTCGGGCTGGTGGTCTTTCAGCCATTATTGTTGTCGGCATGGCTGTAATTGGTGTGACCTTCCTATATGCTACATTTTATGTCTGTTTTGGAGTAGGCTCACATGGTACGATGAAGGTCACAGACTGTAAGTCTTTGTCACCTTTCTTCCTAAGGACAACAGGCAACTGTTGGCTTTGCACGATGGTGATTTTTTTTTTGAATTTTAGATATTTATCTGCGAAATTTTATCGATTCCCTGCAAGTTGTCGTTGGTTCAGATCTTTATTTCGATTCAACTGTTGCCTACTAAGTGTGAATATGGGATATATGGCACTTCTTGCTCTTAATATTAAATATACACCATGCATAAAACAATGGTAGTTTCATATATAACACATGATTCTGTATTTTATACATATGTAGTAAGTCATATATGTGATGCAAGTAACAGACATGATAAGAATATAAGATGTTAAATACCTTATCTGATATTCAGACCGATGAAGATGGTTGACGATGCAGGCATAATTCTTGCTCCATATTTGAACGTATAGAACCCTGTATAGTGTTCTTTGAGTTTACTGATATTTATTATCTCACCATAAAACAAACATTGCGTCAACAATGATTTTTCTGTCTGTTTCCTATTGCAATGTTTCAGTTATTAGATCTCGTGCTTCTTTCAGTTGAATCGAGTACAGAGTCATTCTTTTTCTGAATTCTTATCTGGTTTCAGTATCCAAATTCCAGCAGGCGTTGTGATGTTTTCTTTCATTTTAGGATGAGATTTGTTGATGAATTCCTGAAAATTTGAAAATCATCTTCTCTTTTTTGGGCTGACCAAATTCATTTTGTAGGCTTGTCAATTTGAGGTGCGCTTTCTGTTTACCCAAGTCTTAGTTTACTGTAACTTTCGTTGCTTCGAAGTCAAAGATTTCATTAAAAAAATTATGCTCGACTGTCCCAATAATAGCTTATCTTTCAGTAGGGAACGCCATATTTCCTTCCCTTTGAGATAAGACTTTTTCAGAAACAAAGTTCACTAAATTTTCAGACTTCGTGAAGGATCCTTTCATTTATATAGACAGATCAAAATTAATCTAGTAGACTTGTTAATTTGTGTCATGGCGTCTTGTTTGCCTCAAATCTTACTTTACTGAACTTTCTGATTCTCAAAGGCAAAAATACTCGTCAAAATTAAACTCCCCTTTCTTGGGCAATAGCTTATTGTCTGGATCTGGAAAGTAGAGCCTATCTAAACTTTGTATTCTTGACCATCAGATTTGTGTCCACAAGCTCCAAATTTCTTCCAGCACAGTAAAAAAGTGGACAATAAAGTTGTTCTTCCTATCTCTTTTTGTGGGTTCCATGAACTTAAACAATGTCTCCAAATCCAGTGATATGTCCTCTTCTTTTGTCCTTCATGTGATGACAACTAACTCCATAGGGACTACTCTCACAGCGAATTATATCTCTGTTTCCCAATGGTAATAGAACTTGACTAAATAATCCTGCCAGTAAACTCACCAAACTGTAGCTGTCAAGTAGACTCAAACTACTGAACTCAGAACGTTATAAACTTGGTTTCGTACTGTCTAGACTTGCGCTGCTAACTGAGTCAGTGTTTTTGAACTGGATCAACATTTCAGTATACTTTTATATCTCGAAGATTACTATGAATAAGTTTGGGGCAGAATGCAATAAGAAAGTTATAGGCGGGGCAGGATGCATGGATAATGTTATGCATAAATGCATATGTTAGAATCAACAAGGCTAACTTTGTGGTTATTTACTTTGGAGATAAATTTCGGAAAGATCATAACCCCATCATATCTACTTGTATCTAAGTCAAGCGTTTGGAAATTACAGTTCGTCTAGTCTTTGGAGCTCATATATAAAGTTTCTGGTCACTGAGGAAACTTGCTGTTAGAGACTCATGTGACTGTTTATCTGCCTATACAGCATTTTATAAAATGATGCACATGATATCATCATTCATGAACAGCGTATAAAAATTGAAGGGCCTGTCTTGCATCAACCGTGTACTGGTAAACCATATCACACCTCGTATTGTCCTGACTACATGCAGTTATAATTTGGAGGTCAAATTTTATGAACCTTTATTAAATCCATGCCTCTGAAGCTCTACCCTTTTCTATATGTTACTCGCTTTGATTTCTTTGTGTTGACTATTTCCCATTTGTGATTATATGAATAAGCCTAGTTTTGTGGGCCCTGCCAATTCATCCGTATTGGTTAATAGTGCAAGATTGAGTTTTATCCAATATGATATATATGAACCGTGACGCTTGCATTCTGTGCAGTGCCTCTTCTCCTCGTAGGATATGGTTTTGGTGCCTCGTTTGTTGCTCTTTTTGCTCAGCTTGGTGGTGGAATTTATACAAAAGCAGCAGATGTAGGAGCCGATCTGGTTGGGAAAGTAGAACAGGGAATACCTGAAGATGATCCTAGAAATCCTGCTGTGATTGCAGACCTGGTACACTGTATTTATTTTGTGCTTTTATGTCTTAGCCATGCTTAAATTTCTATTGTCATGACATCTCATGACAGTTCTGATCATAACTTTAGGAGAGTATTCTGGTTGCAGTAGTGATAATATTTAGCTATTGCAAAATCACTAGAGGTTTTTTATACTAACTGTATATAATACACTGGACTTCTAATTAAGTTTTGAAGAATAAAACATGTAACCTATGTTATGCGTTATGTTGTATTTGTTTTCTGCTATCTAGTACGTAATGTATTTTTTTAACATTGAATTAAACATGCTGAACTGTATACTAGACATTTTTTTAGTGAGAGCTTTAAATATTTATTTTTATTGTCAATCCAGGTTGGTGACAATGTTGGTGATTGTGCTGCTCGAGGTGCTGATCTTTTTGAGAGTATAGCTGCAGAAATAATTAGTGCTATGATACTTGGAGGCTCTATGGCTCAGCGCTGTAAAATTGAAGGCGAGAGCTCTTCTTATTTGGTAGAAAATTTAGTGGCATTTTCCTGCAAGACCTACATTCTTGAGCTGCATTTAAAAATACTTCGTTCCTCTTTTTGTTGAGTTCCTATCTACACCCTTACAAATTTATTTTTAGAATTGATATAGATTAGGATTTCTCATCATCCAATATATTTGCCTGCAAGCACAATATTTTTGCAAGGTTGACTTCATAATATACTTTCTTCTAGTATACTGTTAAGTTATTTGTAAATACTGGAGAAGGTAAGATATTTTCAATTCTGAACTTCATATTATACTTTCTTTGAGCAAAGTGTGCCTTATACTTTGTTCAACAATTTACGCTGCATCTCAGCTGATCTGATGCTACATTAGTGTTATCGAGGTGCAAGGCGCAATGCTGGGCGCAAAGGCCCCTTACGCGCACCATGCGCAAGGCGCACAACTCAAACTAATATTTTCCAACATAAGACAAAGAAGCATATAAGCAACATGTTTATAAATTATCACATAAAAGACTAAAAATTATAATTTTACCTACTAAATCACGAAAGAGTCATAATTAGCATGCATAACATAGAGAAGTTCATAAGTTTTCACAAATCACAATGCAAGATAATCTCCAACATAAGCAGAAGTCTATGAAACAAAACAAGCAAGTAACAAATAAGAAATATGTATTTTCATTTAAAATATGATATATGTATTTTTAAGTAACAATTAAGTGATTAACAAACATGATTGTTCATACTTTTCTAGTTAGCATTCTTAATTGCTATTTGCTAGTTTGCATGAAAAGATGGAGAATGGTCGTAACAAATACATATTTACATGTTCATAATTTTCTTGTTAGCATGCTAATTAGAGAAGGAAGTTACAATTGACAAACAAGTATACTAAATTACTAATTATTGTTTCCTTTTTATAGGTTAAACATGAAAAGATAGAGAATGGATTAGCAACTAGCAAGAAAGAGTCTATTACATGATGTAAATATGTAATATGTAAATTATTTAAAAAAACAGAAGAAAGAGTCTATTACATGATGCAGGTGTCAAGCGCGCACGAGGCGCACACGCACGTGCCTCGTGTGCGTGCAGCTCCCCGCCTCTGGCAGCAGCGCCCCGCACCCGGGGCACGCGCCTCGATAACAATGTGCTACATATCAATGTTTGACTTTGGCCATCACAGAAGTTAGGTAAGTGCAAAGATTTAAAAATAGTGTACATGAATACAAGCTTATACTTGTGTCAACAATCTCCAAGTGATTCTCATCTTATAGTGGCCGACTTGTATACTGCATATAAGGTTGGATGCAGGAACAAATACGCATTTATACCAAATCTTTCTAGTTATCATGTATTTATGCTTGGACGTCAACTCGCATTAGGCAAGGAGTATTTCATCATTTATCCCTCTTGAATCTTACATTGCTGTCGATTTTTGGTAAACCTAGGCCTGAATTTCATTTGTAACCTATTGTGCATGTGCAGTGGTGGATCCAGAAAAACTATCTTAGGGTTTTGTTAGGGGGGTAGACGACAAGTATCTATTTACCCAAAAATTAAATATAATACTATTAAACAATGTTCTTGACAAATGGCCTAAATTTCCAACTTAAATTGGTAAAATTCAAATAGAGGGCAAATA